GTACGTACGTACTACGTACGTACGTACGTACGTACGTACGTACGTACGTACGTACGTACGTACGTACGTACGTACGTACGTACGTACGTACGTACGTACGTAGACGTACGAGAGTAGAGAGAGAGAGAGAGAGAGAGAGAGAGAGAGAGAGTAGAGAGAGAGAGAGAGGGGAGTTAGGGAGAGAGAGAGAGAGGATTTGCGGTCATGGCTGCCATCGAGGAGGTTACAGAGGCCGTGAGCAACCTTCACGTGAGCGAGTCTCACAAGAAGAACAGGATTCAGGTCTCCAACACCAAGAAACCCCTCTTCTTCTATGTCAACCTCGCCAAGGTAACTAAGGAAAAGACTAGGGTTTCCCTCTCTCTGTTTTCTCTCTCCATTTCTGGTTCTCTTTCTCTGTAATCTTTATTGTGAGCTTTATTAGCGGTATGATTTTTGCATTCTCTATCGTCATAATCCCTGATTTATTGAGTGAAATCTTTGCAGAGGTACATGCAGCAACATAACGAAGTGGAGTTGTCAGCTCTAGGAATGGGTATGGCTCCTATTCATCACATTCGTCTTCTTGTTCTTCTTTATCTGATGCTGTTAGCTTTTTCTTTTTGTGGATGTTACAGTTCCATGTTATTAGTTTTGCTGGTATTGTTTGCGACATTTATATCTATAATTGTTATTTGTGTATACAGTTTACTTGTTCTTTCTAGATGAAATTTATTTATTTATTTATTTTGCAAGTTTCCTAGCCATTTAAATGTTGCAATGGCTCTTTGCGAGTTTGATGGGAAGAGAATAGTCACTTAAAAGCTGGAAGGGGTTTTAATCAATATTTGTGTCTGAAGAACAGCGTTATCTGTGGGTGATTCTTTAACAAAACATCCTCTTCTTTATTGGCTTCCCAGACAAAATTTCATTATTATGGTACATATAAAGGCTTTGTCTGGTTTTATTTCCTTTAGCAAGGACTGTGAACTCAGTATACTGAAAGGAGTAGGTCTTATCAGCTTGTAGTTTGCGTTTGATGCTCTCATTATTTTTCAGTATTCTGCTGTTTCTTTCTAATCTTTGAAAGAAAGAACTGCACTTCTTTAGAAAATTGGTGGGTTGTGTGGAAGATCTCTGGACATTTAAGCCTGATTTTTCTTCTTTGGGTACCTGTATCTTTGATTGTATTTATTTGATATAAAATGATTGAAGTTACTTTATTTACTTACGGTACTACACCACGATTCGAAGGATTATATGGATGCTGTTCCTTTCACTATGCATTTATTTCTTTATCAAATCCTTGAACGTTTCATCCTGGTTTATTGATTTTTGGCTTGAGCCTTATTTGTGACAGTGAGCATTGCATTGGGCAGAGAATCATGTTCTATGTACTATTCCTTTGTTATTTTGTTTTTGAACTTAATACCATTTTCTCTGTCGTTTCACTTAATTTATCTTTTCGGCACATGAGAGGAAAACGATCACCGTTCACAATTTTCTCCAAAATTCAAAATAATGGCCTGAAAATTTTTCTTTTCCCAAAAGTCACCCCTTTTATTTTTTCCCAAACAAACCTCTTGGTTGAGGTTTTTAAATTTAAACTGTCTTTGCATCTAAGGATATCTCTGGTGAATGCGAGAGGTGTGCTTAAATGGGGCTCTTGTTGGTGCCTCTAGAATTTCTGACTTCCACAGGAGTTTTAGTTACTGTATTTTGGTAGTTCATTTTTGTGTTGTTTTCTTTTCCATACAGGTGTCATTTTGTGGTGGCTATTGTAATATTTTACTGTAGCTTTGTTCAGTAATATTTGCTTTCTTTTTTTTTTTTTTCCTTTTTTGGGGACATTCTCATGTCGAATCTTTCTTTTTGAGCACTTCTTTTGCCGAACCATGAAAGTTATGGTACTAGTATGTCTTCTCATGTTGGTAGAGTGTTCCAGTTTTCAGTTGTTATCTATTAAGTGTCGTACGTTGGGAAGGTAGTTATACCTTCTCTTGTTGAGCATATTTCTTGCAGAACAAACAAAGGTATGATACCATTGTGTTTTTCATATTGGAAGAATGGTCTCAATTTTCTGTTCTTGCTTATTAAGTGTGCTTCTATTTCGGGGGTTTTACGTATTTAGAGCATGTTGATGGCATGCAATTCACTTATACAGTGGCTTTATGTGCGCACAGCCTACTTCTGATAGTTTACTGCAGAACTGATTGCTGACTTATAACCACACCAAACTGGCCATTTTGCACATTGAGATTATAGACACATGTTGTGAACCTATAGATATTGCCAAATGGTTTATTTTTATAATGTCAATGGTCTAGAGATGAAATGATCAGTTTGTGATTGTATGTTATAACAAATTGCTTTGATTAATTCATTATTTCATAATTTCACCGTGGATTTTTTTACTTCAGAAAGGAGAACTGGTTTACATTAAGCATCTTAATTATTAATTCCATTTCATAAATATTAGGTGCATAGATATTCTTATTTGACGAGTATATTAATCAAATAACTGTAATGTATTACTGTCTTTGTTTTGAGGATTTGGGTGGTTTTGTGTTGCTGGATTGTTATTTTTGTGTTATGAATTTGCTTTTGATTTGGAACTATGAAAGGTGGGTAGCTTCTGTAGTTGAATTGCAAGAACGTAACTAACTTTTACCTTCTCTTGTCATAGTCCATGTTGTGTTGTTACCTTCTCATGTCGTAGTCTATGTTGCGTTGGAGCTGGAAGCTCTTTTTGAATTTAATTCGTCTCCATTTAGATGGCAACTACTGTTGTGTTTTCCTGTTTGTAATTTGAAAATCATACTTGTGATCCTGTTTTTTGGGAATTCTGACTTTAGATTTGCATGCTATGGTCTTATTATGTGGAAGCAAACATCTTTTTTATTTTAGCTATAATTCTGAATTGTGATCTAGGATGAGAAAATGTCTCTATTTCAATTGTTTTCCATGCCTTTGGCAACTATAATTGTTTTACTTGCAAAGTAAATGTACTAGAAGCAATGTTTTCTGAATTGACCCAAAACTGATGTGAAATGACATTTGAATTAAATCAGTTAGAGATTTTGATATGAGGTGGTCGAAATTTTGAATTCTCTTGAGATTCATTGTATGGACCAATTTGGCTAGAACTCTGATCTGGAATCCTAGATTAAGATTTGTTGGAAGCTTTTTTATTTTTTTTCATTGATTTACTGTTTCTCCTAGATAACAGAGAGCATCTCCATCATTATTTAATATTTATTTTTCTTGCAGTGCAGAAAGAATAAAAACATTTTGCTTTTGTCTGTAAATCTAAATCTGGATCTAAGTTCATGGGCCATGATGGATGTTCATTTTTTTGAAAACTGAAACTGGTCTTTATTTGAAAAAAGATCCTGCCATCTAAGCAAAGTTGTCATCATTGACTAAATTTAATTGGTCATTCACGTTTTCTTCCTTTCTTAGAAACTCCAAATTGATATTTGTTATCAACCTAGAAATTTACTATCTTGCTTTTAAAATAGTTTCTATTGCACTTGAGTTTGGTGACTTGGGTGTGAACTTTCATATTGCATAAGACCTGACTGAGATGGCTTATAGGTAATTTTTTGGGGTTTTAAAAAATGCAGTCCTTTGCATGCTGTTTTCTTCATGAATATCTTAATATGAAACATAATTATTTTTTTTGGAAATGAATGTACTCAGTATTATGAATAGGAAAACAAATACCACCTTTACTTTTTGAAAGTGTCTCAGTCCTGTAAGACTGCTCGCCCAACGAATTATGAGCGGCGAAAATTTCTCACTAACAAGAGAGCAAACTAGGAGTGACCAAGAAAAATGGTTGATCCTTCCTATATGCAACTATTTTTCTTGGATTTTCTTGTGGAAAAGTCACAATGAATTGATTTCCAAATTTTCCTGAGGTATGAGATGTCCTTCAATGGATCGAGTGTTGAACAAAAGTTTACTTGTGGGGAGGTTGTTCTCTAAGAACCAGTTTCTTCTTGACTGGATGCACTCGAGCCAAGTCTGCTCTGAGTCCTCGTTGTTGAGCGGGTTTTTTGCTGTTGCAAAGCAAGTGGTAGCAGCCCAAGCGAGTGCTTTACGTTGTGGCACATGCCTAACATTGGCACTAGCTGCTCTCACTTGCTTTGCTTGCTAGACTAGAAATAATCAAATTCTAGACGTATTAACTGGTGGAAAATTCTTGTTCATTAAAACCATGCTTATTGGTATATCATCTGTGGTGATTGATTTTTTTTATGAGTAAATTGTTCTGGACATTTTGGAAGAGGCTCCATAACTTGAACCCATAGATAGGTGAATCTAGGTTGGTTATCATACCTGCATTATGCATTGAAGTTCTAAATATGATTCTATTCAGAGGATTGTAGCTGCATTTGGTGATTTTGCTGGGAGCTTCACTGCCTAATCTCAGATCTAGGGCTTGAATTCTTTTTTTATCCCAATCTTTATAGATGGCCTTATAGGCATTCGATGTACAATTCTTAAAAGAAAAAAGAAAAAGATTATGAGTACTTAAAGGCCTAGATCCCAATGTCCAACAAATGGATGGTCTGACTTCATTGTTGGAGAGCAGCTCATTTGACCTTTTCTAGGGTGCAAATCCAGTTTTTTTTCTTTTTGGCATTGATTGGGATGAAAAGAGTGGGAATGCAAAATTTGGGATCATGCAAATCCCTCAAACATAGTTTGAGGGGTTTAATTATATTATAACACCAAGGGTATTAAATCACCCCCCATATATAGGCACACACACATGCATATGTGGTTTCTGATTTATCTGTGCTGGTTATTGTTGTAGTGATGCAATGTTACTTTTGAGTATTGCAAACCTTGAGAATTGGAAAATGGACAAGATTGTTGTTTATGCTTGGATGCTGGATATTATGATAAACATGATCCTAGGTAAGTGTTGTCATCTACATTTTTAAAAAATAAACCAATGAAACATGAGAAATACTTGTACTACTGCTCTTGATGATGAGAATATATGTGAATGGTTGAAGTTGCTGATAGGCATGGGAAGGAAATTTACATTGATAGTGATCAGGGTTCTTACTAAGAAGGTCCAGTAGGAAAGAGTCAGTAGGCACAAATCGTTACTGCTGGTGTGTGCTTGTGCACATGCTCATGAGTCCTGTGTTAGCTATAAACATTATTTTCCTTACTGAAAAAAAACAAATTAAAGATGAATATGAAATTTAAATTTCTGAGATTGTTTTATGTTCCGGCATTATTTCCTTGACCAAATTGGCTTCTTTTTTTATTGCATATTTAGCCATGGTGCCTAGTTAAGTTCCCTTAGTATTGCACTTGTTCTGTTATTTGAGAACTATTATCATCTGAATGTGTTGTTCGAGTGGTTGACATACTTTTTCTGTTATTCACAGCAATTGCTACTGTGGTCACAATTGCAGAGATTCTAAAGAACAATGGACTGGCCATTGAGAAGAGTAAGACTGTTTTATCGATTTCTTTGATAAATGTAGTTTCGTTGACTGTTTTAAGTTTTACTTACCCCAAAAAAAAAAGAAAAGAACTGTTTCAAGTTTCAAAAGTTTGGTGCTATGGAACAGTATTTTACTATTATTGGGGATTGTTTGGACTGGCTTTCAGCTGAATTATGATTCTATGGGACTCCTAGTTTCTTGATTTGCATAAAAGATATAATTGGCCAGAATTTAGGCGACAGGGAACAATGTGGGAAGTTATGGATATTTCAAATCAGTGTCTTGTAGAAGTGTCCGGAATCTTTTCATTACTACAAAAAAAAGAAGAGGACATCTTTTCACCAGTAGAATACAGGAGAGAAAAATTAAAGAACGCTTTTATGAATTATCAGTGATCTTTTATTGTTAGTCATTGTTATTTTTTGCCCTATTGAATTAAGGATGAAACATGAATGGGTTTGGCACATTTCAAATGATAAACATGTTTCAATGCTTAGGTAATTTGCCTTCTATTGAGTTCATTTTGGTTTTGAAGAAATCAAGAGCTTTTAGTTCTTATTAATCATGGTCATATTTTTGGCCTTCTCTGCATGGATGTCTCTAACCTCTTTTTATAATGAAATAAATTATCTGCAGAGATCATGACTTCAACTGTTGATATGAAAGATGAATCGAGAGGGCGACCTATTCAGAAAGCAAAGGTACATGTCTTGAAGTCTCCATGTACCCAATGATTTATATTTTTACTAGTCAATTTACGTCTACTCACGATATCCATCCTTCAATTACATGCTTAAAAGAATGGATTTTGCTGACTTTGTAGATTGAAATTTTGCTTGGCAAGACTGCAAATTTCGATGAGTTGATGGCCGCTGCAGCTGAGGAAAGAGAAATTGCAGAAGGAGAGGAGCAGAGCTGAGTGCTTGAAGCCCCTGAATTTGGCTTTGTTACTGATTAGTTTACCTCTTTAAGTTCTTTTTTTTTTGGGTCGGGCCTTTTAATGTTTGCGGGACATGGTCAACAGATGTGCACTATGTGATCGTCGTTGTGGATGTAGAGAATGGGTTGTTATTCTTTCATTTTAGGAAGACAACAGAGTCTTTGCTTTTCTGTAAAAACGATTGCAAGATCGTAAGTGTTTTTACGCTCAGGAAATGGTTCTCCTTACAGTGCGTACCCTTTTTATGACTTGTTATGCTGCGTAGGCTTGAAATCTTGATGTGCGTGTTCTTTATTCTTTTACCCCTTTGGTGTTGATGTGTCTTGATGTGCGAATTCTATTACCCCTTTGGTGTTGATGGGTTATGGAGATGCTGAAATCATCGTTACTATCAACCTTGATCTATTCGGTATAAAGTAGACATCAGTTTTTGGTTGAAAATCTATCAAAATTAGTATTTTACTAGTGGGGATGCTTAGAATGTCTGGTTTTGACCCGAGTAGGTAAACAAAGTTGAGTTTTTTAAGTAGGGCAAGCTTTAAATAGGGCAAGCTTTTTATGCGGCCCTTACAGCATAGAAGTTATATCCTTACAGCATAGAAGTTATATCGTCTTTTTTATCTAACCTTCCACTCATGAATAGAGGTTAAGATAGCTCCAATCACAATGTCATATTTTTATACTATTTTATTTTTAATTTTTTTTTATCAATCATTTTGACACCAAATTTTAGACATGTATTTTTCTATTAAACTTGCACTAGTGAAAAATGTAAAAAAATATTTTCAATAAAATAAAATGGTTAAAATGCTTTTAAAAGTTTTAAGGGGTATTTTGGTTATTATATTTTATCGAAAATTGTTTTTAATATTTTTTATAGGTGCACTCCAATGAGAAAATGGCACGTATCAAAGTTAATATTCATATAATTTGTGTAGAAAAAAATTAAAAGTAAAATACTTTGAGACGTCGAATCTAAGATCAAACGGTGAGTGACGCTTTTGATCAAAATTAGACAGTTGGATGGTAAAAGGATGATAGAACTTCTATGCTGTAAGAGAAGTATAGAAACCTTTGGATGGTAAAGGGAGGATAGAATTTTTATGCTCTTTAGGGAAGTATAGAAACCTTTCCCTTTTAAATGTATGGTTTATAGAGAGCTTACACTATAAACAATCTATGCGGTAGGGGAAGTGTAGAAACCTTTCCCTTTTAAATATGTTATTTATAGAGAGCCTACGTTATAAACAATCAAATTAGAGCCTACCTCAAAATTTTTACCAGGATCATCCAAACATCAAGATGCATGGACACGAGAAAAAAATAGATTTCAAGTTTTGGAATAGTGCATATTGTAACACATTTTTGGATCGTCAATTTTCAAGATTTTTTAGTTTTCATAGATATGCTCGATTTACGTTATTTTTGAAGCTTTAAATTTTATAACTAAATATGAAAATACATTTTTAGGCTATCACAAAAATTTTCCACTATGGAAACTATATTTCTCGATACTATTTGAAGGTAGGCTCTAATTTGATTGTTTAGAGCTTCGGCTCTAGACAACCACACCCTTTAACTATTACTCTTATTTACCTTATGTATTCGGGAAAATTATGTATTTTTTTGTTTTAGTTTATGTTATTACCAAAATACTGAATACTTTCCGTTAATTCTGATACGTCCGTTTTTTGGACTTCATAATAATTATTTTTTTAAAATGATGAAACTACCCATTTTCGGTTTTTCAAAAACCAAAAAATTTTAAATTTTTGGTTTTTTAATAGCTAAAGTTTTTATTCTCTCTTGTGGGTCATCTGTGTATTCTCTCTCTTCCACCGAGAAACCGTCTACGCGATTTGGCAAAGCAGCCTTTGGATTACCCATATGGAAACAAGTTACGATCTCAGACACTTTACTCACAAAGGAGATTTTGGTCAAAAGATTATTGAAAATGTTTCTCCTCACCCCAATGTGATCCACTTATATGATGTTTATGGGGATCAAGGTGGAGTTCATTTGATTTTGAAGTTTTCTATGGTGTGAAAGTGGATGATAAGAGAACCCACCAAGCATACGAGACCTTAAGCGAGAGAAAGAAAACTAAAGATTTATAGAGAGAGGGAGGAGCAGTGGGGTTCACAAGAGAAGGAGAGGCTTTGATGATGAGCTCACCGCCAATGCGAGCAAGGCATGTAATGGAGCGAGTGAAGATTTTGAGTGTTGGGTTTGTGTGGCCATTAAAAGCCTTACAAGAGATTGTAATAAAAACATTTGATATAGTGGAACATAAATTCAGTAGGAGTATGGTCTCTCGAGGACCATACTATGTAAACAGTATTTGCAGATACCGATATATGCTTGACGGTCTAAGTCAGTTAGTTGAGAAAAATCCATGTTACCTGGGCATATAGTATAAACTGATAAGGGTTTTAATGAGTCATCTCTTGATGAGATCGGAGTATGTCCGGATGAGTGAGCTGAGAGACTATGTGAACCTTGTATGTGATGGCAGCCTGCAGCGACGGGGGCTAAAGCCTTATCCTTTTACTATCACACGGTATGCATATCGATAGACCGTTTCGAAAAAACAAACCACCATTCGGAGTGAAGCGTATGCAAGCGCGAGAGATACCCCTATGTACGATAGGAGATGTGGTCACATTAGGTCTAGGTGACATTGACTTATATTTAGGGGAGGACCTAAAATTCACAGACTGGGATTGCGACCTCTTGGCTCATCGGGTGAGTCGCTAATGAGCCCCTGTTTGAACCACGGGTCATGAAAAACACTGGTTGGTTTGATAAAGTAAGTATCGTCTGTAGTCCACAATTGAAGGTGGAGTGCCCCATGATTGTTGATTCAATTCCTAAACTATATGGATCATTTTTCCATCAAATTAATTTAATTGTGTTTGTTTTATAATGAAAATTATTTTAGAATTATTATTTGAATTTTTATGAACCCCTGGATATTTTATTTATAATTTTTAGATTTATAAAATTCAAGATATTGATTTAAAATAATTTAAATATTCAAATAATATTCTAAAATATTTTTATTAATTTTAAATATATAAAAATATCATGGGGGCCCATTATGCATATGGACCCGTCATATTTCTAGAAGGTGGGGCCCATGAGTACCTAACTTAGGTGGTACGCCCCACCCTTTATTCCTTTTCCTTTTTTTTTAGTGATACGGCATGTACCTATATGGTTGGAAGATATTGACTAAATATTGACTTGATATATTTTTGAAAGATTTTGTGGAACGATTGAGTAGACTTGTACTATTTTATGGTTATGCATAATATTTGGATTAAATTTAATTTATTTAATTTCTAATAATGAGAAAATGGTTTAGGAAAATGAAATAAGGGTTCATCCACCTTCTATAATGTTGATGACCTATCTATGGAGTGGATGACTCAGATCTCTCACCCTACAAGTCACCTTTGATTGACGGTCTATGTTCAATCTCACTTAAGAAGCAAACTATGAGAAACCCCAAACTTAAAATTATTATATAAATAGATGACCTCCCCTCCTCTATTCTCGACACCAAAAAGCCTCTCTTCTCTCTCTCTCTCTCTCCAAAGTCTCTCTCTGAGGATGTCCCACTCTCTCTTTTCTCTCTCTCCTAGCCCATAGAGGAGCATGTCCCAACCTTAAGTTTTCTCCCACTCTCTCTCATCTCATTAAGCCTAAATGTTGGATAGTACGGGATAGGCTAAACTAGGTCTTGAGGGTTAGGACTTAGAACCTAAGCTTGATAATAGCAAAGGAGTTCTAAAAGGTTCCATACAAATAGTTTGCTTAAATTTGCTTTTTCGGTTGAGATTGAAGCTAGATCGTCGATCCCGGGCCATCGGATGGTGGTGACTCGATGTGGGGTATAATAAGTCGGGCTGAGGTATTTTCCGGTACTCTTCACTTTTATTACTTACAATCTTATCTTTTTATTATCAAGCATAGTGCATAGTTATTTCAATAACATCAAGTTTTAAGATCTTGGATTATTGTTATGTTGATTTTATTTTAAAGCATGTCATGTTATTGTAATAAGACCACTGGTGAGTGGTATTTTGCTAAAACAAAATGGGTACAAACAAAAATTATATGATTCCACGGTAAAAGATCACGTACGTTTTTCTTTTATTGAGGGTGTTCTCGCTCCAACTACACTCCATCTTTTTCAATTCATTCGCTTCTTTTTCTTTCTAAATTCTCTATCTATACTCTAAATGTGTTTCCCTTTGTATAGTACATAGAGAGAATGACCCAGAAAAATGATCGAGAAAATGACTTAGAAAAATAAGCAGAGGACCCACAAGATAAAAATTTTTGTTTTTTCAAAAACCGAAATTGACATGATTTCGGTTTTTGAAAAACCAAAAATGGATAGTACTTTTTTTAAAAAAAATTGTTATGAAGTCCAAAAAAATGGACATATCATTAGTATTCGGTATTTTGGTAATAACGGAAACTAAATAGATATTTATATAATTTTCGCTATATATTTTAAAGTTGGTGTGGTTTGTATAGAGCCGAGGCTCTAAACAATCAAAGTAGAGTCCATTGTCAAATAGTGTCAAGAAATGTTTCAATACTTAAATTTTTTGTAATAGCCTTAAATATATTTTCATATCTAATTATAAAATTTAAAGCTTAAAAAATAGCGTAGATCTACAAAAACATGAAAATCTTGAAAATGGACGGTCCAAAAATGCATTACAAGATGCACTATTTCTAAAACTTGAAATCTATTTTTCTCGTGTCTATGCATCTTGAAGTCGGGATGATCAATTTGAAGATATTTGGACATCAAAACAACATTTTCTAGTAAAATTTTTGAGGTGCACTCTAATTTGATTGTTTAAAGCCTCGACGTTATATAAATTTTTTCCATTAAAGTTTGATCTAAGTGGTTCGGTTGATGATATATTAGTTTTGATTTGACTTTACCTTTTTACTGTTGTGATGGCTGGTCTGATCTTGAAATTTCCTCATGCCTTTGTTACTTTATAATGAGCTTTGATTTTTTTGGATGGAATAGTATGTAGACTATTTATTTTTGATACATCCATTGATTAACTAAGTTATATAATTTTTTTATTTATGAATTTTGTGACACTACATACCATCTAATTTGACATTTAATATTTAGGATTGATTGTGACCTCTTTGCAATAAAAGATCAATGGTCTTATAATATACAATCTTTTTTTGGTCATTGTTAAATTCTTTTGGTTAGGCAGCATGGTTTATTTATATATTTTGGGATTGTATACCATGAGACCATTTACCTTTAGTACAAAGATGTTACAATTATTTATAACTATCCGATATGAAATCTGATAGCTTGTGTGTGTAACAAAGTTAGAGAATTATTATTTTTGAACTTTGAGCTTGATTAATAAAAATGCAGCTACCTAATTTCACATTCAATGGTCAAGAGTAATTGTGACGACCTTGTACCAAAAATAAATGGTCCCATCATGCTTTCCCATCTATTTCACGTGGTTTTTCCGAAGTCCACATATTCAGAATGTAGAAATTTATTATTTAAATATCAAGTTCACATACATAACTATGGCTTTTTCAATGCCAAATGGTATACACTGCAACATTCGACAGGATCATGAGAATGGGAAAGCATGAGAAAGGATATTGTGGTATTGGCTTTGCTGGTTTGGGTTAAAATACCCAACTTAGGATAACCCCACAAGTTATACCAAGGGAGAGAGAGAGAGATTGTATTCAATCTTTTGATGTCATTAATTAGCGGACCCGGCTTCTATGCGGCCAAGTCCACATATGTAGAAATATGAGCGTATTAATAAATTTATTTTTGAAATGAATTTTTGGACTTGATTTTTAAAGACATGTAACGTCTAACTTGGATATCATAAATATAAAAAAATAAGTAAATTTTAAAAACTAAAAATAATAATTCCAGTAAGGAAATATTTGGACCAATTTCCATTGTTTTTAGATGGAACACCTACTTGCATCCATCTTACCTTTACACTTTTTAGACTGCAAATGTAGTCATGCGGTCTAGCCTGCATGAAACAATTTTCCTTAATTAGCATAAATTGTTTAGATTTAGCAGCACAAAATCTCTCTTCCAGGCGATGTCGATTGGAATATTAGGGGGACGAGATGCTTATCGGGTCCTTTCTTCAAATTTCAACTTACAGTAAGCAACAAAAACCTTTGGTCATGGACCAACACCACATGAGAAAACATAGGTATCATGTGTTTCACCACAGGAGCATGAACTGTTAAAAGAGTAACGAGCTAAAGTTAAGCTCCAACGTTCTCCATTGGCAATAGTGTTTTTGTACCATATCCCTGCTGTAAATCATGGATTCAAATGATTTAAGATAACATTAAGGGCCACAAAATGTGCTCTTATGGGGCCAAAACTGTACAGTTACTCCCTTGGGCAAAAGTCCTCATTGAGGTTTTTCTTGATATGGGGGCCAAACCGTACCGTTTTACTCCCTTTGCCAAAAGTCCTCGTTGAGGTTTTTCTTGATATGAAATGTTGAGATCCATATTATACCTAAGGGAAGTTGAATTTTGAGTTTCTAAACACTTGAATCTGACCATCTGGATTTTGGATTGTTTTCACCAATCATAAAATATTCTTGAACATATTCTTTTCAAGCATGCATAATACGTGCTTCTGAAAATATTGTTTTTGGGTTAGTTATTAGGTCATAAGAGATGCTTTCGAGGTGGGTATACCGATTAGGTTTGAGTACAGGGTTTAACGTCGGGTAAAACCATGAGATGTTGTAGCATGTACCTTTGAGATGCTCTTGCATATATCTTTTGGGACCGTGAACATTTTACTTTCACCAGATATCCAAATTATGGATCTTAGGCATTCCAATCATGAGAAAAAAAAAACGCCAGATTTCTCTTTTCTGAAAGTCCTATTCTTTGGGCACCACAGCTCCCCCAACCATAAACAGGACGAACAACAAAGAAAGAACCATCAAATTACCAAAAGAGAAGGAACACCAAAGAAAAAAACCATCAGATTCAAATGCTTGAATAAATTGTGTAATAAAATCATCTCTCATGAGTTGTGTTTGCGACAATGCATCATATTGGTCGCATATAAATATAAAGAAATCAATGAAAACAAGTATAGGAGGACAGTGTGTTGTAACCCCGTCATTATCCCAAGTTCTCACCACAAGTAAAACCTGTCTGTGCAAAAGCTTTAATGAAGCTCGAAGCTCCATGGAAATAAAAAGAGAAGAAAATGGGTTGCAGGAAACATGGCCTTAGCCACGATCTTCCTATGGTTTAGCACCGCAAAAATCCCAAGTGACTATAGTGGGTAGCTTCTGAAAAGAACTTTCCCTCCAATGCTCGTTCTCACCTTAACCTGATGCTCTCTCTCTCTCTCTCTCTCTCTCTCTCTCTACCCGCATGTTCTTTTTCAAATTTAAGTGATAGCATCACATCTCAAAGTTCCTACAATTGGGTCCATAAAGCTCATTCCCCAATTGATTAATCCTCATGCTATTATTCCTTCTTCTAAAAAACCATGCCAATCTGCTTCCTCCGAGGAAACCTAAGCTTCATCTTCCTCATCAACAAGTATTCTCTTGGTGGCTTCATAGCACATAAACGCAATACCAGCAGCTGGGACCAACTTCATACAACTTGGACCCAATCCCTTGTAGAGCCCCGTCATACCTTCTTGCTCCAAAATGCTTGATAGAGCATGGAGCATATTCTTATACACTTGCCTCCCACTAAGAGCCCCAACTTGCATATGTTTTCTAGCTACCTCTAAAGGAAAAGTAGAAGTACTTGCTATGGCGCCAGCTGCTGAACCGATAAAAAGGGTGGGTATGTTTCCAACCTCCTCTTTCTTGAAGGCCTTCTTATAAGCCTTCCTCAAAGTATCATACGCAAAATAATTAGTGGCTGCATAGGGCACGATGCCTATAAGGCTAGGAGCAAGGCCCCTATATAACTCAGTTGGACCCTCCTCCCTCAAAATTTTCAGAAAAGCATCTAACAGATTCTCGTAAACGCCCCTCTGCAATAAACCGATTGTGGGAATATGGTAAGAGAGAATGCAAACAATTTAAGTGGATATGACAGGAAAAACAAATGAATATATCAAAGTCTATGCGGATGTGACAGAAACCCATCATGAAGAGATCCAAGTTTAAGTCGACATCAGAGAAATCCAAGTTTGAGTGGATATGAGAGAAACCCAAATGGAGAAATCCTAGTGGCATTATAGGAGGGGGTTAGGTAGGTTTTTACCTGTATGGTCAGCCGAGTTTTGAGGAGCTCGAGGGGGTAGGTCAAGAGTGTCGAGCTGACTCCAGCTGCAGCCCCTGCAACCAGCGAGGGAGAGATGGGGATTATGGGGGGCTCCCCGGATTTGGGAGTCAATGCCTTCTTGACGGTATCAAAAGCAAATAGCTGCGAACAAGAACGGACAAATGCATGAAGCAATCAGAAAGAATGATTGCTAATTCTAAGTGCATGTGAATGTGTGTAGAGAGAGAGAGAGAGAGAGAGAGAGAGAGAGAATCCATTCAATAAATTCGTTTGAAATGTGTGTTGATCGGTCCTTATTGGGAACACATGCTTTCTTAAGGAACCTCATAAGAATTGGGTGCCATGTATGTCACAAGAAAGTACTGACTTAGTTGCATGCACAATAGCAGTGATTTAAAATTTGCCGATCCAAATCAGTAATCGCCTAAGAACGTTCCGGTTCTTGGGCTAAGTCATCCAATACACTTAATTAATAAGAATTACTAGGTATAACTTAAAACACAAAGTGTGAATGGCTTTGATGTGTACAGTAAATGACCCTTTTCCACCCCACCGATCCGTTTTTTAGAACACTGCATAGCAGCAATAAAAACAACAATGTACTATAACATAATGTTTGTTAAACAAGTATCACATTTTCCTATCCCGCAATATGGGAGACGTACATCATTTCTAAAGTATAATCACATACATTTAAACAGTAATGTACATATATACACTGTCCAAAGTTCCTAGAATCATTCCCTCCCTTTGACCTCCCATTCCTAAAATCTCTTTAAATTGTTATACAAATTTATTCATAAAGTTGCCAGAAAAAACTACCCATCTTTATCAAAAATCTATCTTTTGCTATAAAGATCTTGCATACAAAAGAGATAAACTCCAAGAAACTTAGAAATATGGTTGCTGTTGGTCGGATTCTCAAGAAATTTGACATTAGGAATTTTTGATGTTTTAACAAATCTAAGAAGGGTCTAGCTGCAGTTTATCATCAATATTTGTAATGCATGTTGCGGATAGACAGCAATAGCTACCCTGGTTGAACTTCAACAACATTATGCTTAAAAAGAATTGCCGACTCCGGATCAGACTATCCCAAGTCACATGGACCCGGCAGGGTGCCACATTAGGATGGATAACCCTATAAATTGGGTGTTCAAGGTCCAAGATTCTTTTAGATTTTTTTCATTGAGATTCGGTCAAGTTAGGTGGTCTGACTCTGCCAAATTGGCCTCTGAGTAGGGCTTGCGTGGGGTCTGATGCATTAGAGCAGAGTTCATTATAAAGAAAAAAAAATAGGCTGAGTTAGTAACTTCGACTTCAAACAGTGTATCCAGACTTGGCTGATGCCGAGTTACTCAGCCTAGCCCTATGGACGAAGCAAGTTTCGGCTGAGTACTATGTACAAGCCTGGATATCATGTTTATTTATTTAAGTTTTCATTTCTGAGACAAAAAACGCTTGGTGGTGTGCTGGTTAGTTGCACACTAAGGGCCCATTTGGTGGGGTTTCGACCCCCCAAAAACAACTGCAACCCATATGTTTTCTAAACCACAAAGACTTAATAATTTCGTTGCCCATAAATTTTTTTTTAACCCATGAAGACTTGGTAATTTTCCCTTTTTAAGGAGTTAAAAACCATGAGATAAAAAAGAGGTCATTACAAGGATCAAACATATGACCTCTTAGAAAGAGGCATCTACAAAGCCACCTAAACGAACATGCCATTAGACATTTGATGTACGAGGGGGTGATATATATCTTATTTAATATGTGTTTTTATTTTTTTAAACTTGCGCTACACTTGGTGGGCTCATGAAAAATTTGACGAGGAGGGGAATGGAACCTGCAAACTTACCATCAATGCACACGGGGAATCACCAGTCCACTACTCTACTGTGTTTGGAAACGTTATCCATATTATATCTATATAACCTTTAATGTTTTTCGTTGTCATCTGTCCTTTTTTTTCAAAAAAATTGTACATGGATCGAGCGAGTTACTGGAACCAAGTAACTCGCCTCGGCCAAGGTCTGAGTAGTGTTTCTATACACTAACTTCAAATATTAGCTAACAGATTTCTTCACAAAGTTCTAGGTGATATGAGTATGATAGATTTCTTGATAAGATCTCAAATTCTCAATAAATTAGCAGTGCACACAAATTGGTCAACCATCGGTTCATTGCATTACCCCTGCTGCATTCATTATATTTACATGGTGTATAACAAAAAAAAAGTCCTATCAACAGTAATACCTACCATTTCTTTTTCAATCAACTACATGTTACCATATGATTGCCAGGGAAGGAAGGTAAGCACACAAACAAGCACACATATTTTGTAAGAAAGAGCATGGAGGGTTGGGGGTATGAGAAATTTCTTAACCATTTATTCCCATTCAACTGCTGTCCAAAACCAAGAAAATAAATGTGGAAACACTTATTGAAGCATGATGAGATACATAAGCTAAAACAACAAATCATTCCCTTTATATTCACAAATGTTACAACTTCAAATGTGAACTTCACTTAGAAGTTGACGAGACTAAGATATAAAACATGACAATCATGCAAATATACGATATGCATATAGAAAACTAAACAATATTTATGCGAGCAAGTAAAAACTACATGGTTAGAGCAAATTTACCCACGTTTGTCTAGCTTCAGATTACCACTATCATAGTTATTAATTTTTTTATGGAAGGTGTTTAACTTGAAGATTACTAGGATTCATTTATATGAGGTAGTAGGAGTCAAGTGAAGGCCAAAGTAGTCGCACAAATCACATGCTGGTAAAAGTAGCATAGCTTATAAGTTAGGCAGTATACTCAAGAAGGAATGACAAGAAGACGTATGCTGCATATCAATGCTTCTACCAGAGTCACCCAAAAGAATGGGTTAAGATTGTAGCCTCTTGAATGTTATTATTATGCATATTATTTCAAAACAGGGAAGCTATAGTACTCATGATATGATATCCATTGTCCAGTGGTATCCAATGTTTGCGAATCGTCTGAGTCAACTCAACTGTCAGGGTCCAAGAGATTTATAATGGTAAACACCGATTTTGCCAAGCTTTTATGTTTTTAAAACAAATATACTGGAATTAATACCAAAAGGTACAGAATACGTTGTGTGTTTTATGGTCTAAGTTTCAAATACTTCTGTCGACACAAAATATCTTTTCACCAAGTCCTATTTCAAATTGCAGAACTTGTTATGGCATGAACGTCTCAGGGACTAAGTTTGAGTTTTTTTTATCACTGTTTCAAAGCAATCTAAGATAGACCTGGCCAAATGTGGATTAGTAATGCATTCTCAATTATTACTGTGCATACACAGGATGGATGGGTCTTTACCAAGTAGGTAATAGTACAGTACAACTCTTGAGCATACACAAGTTGGTAATAACCCAATTTCTGGTAACCAATTACAAACTCATGAAGTGAAAAAAAATTAAGGAAATTATATCCAATACATGATAGACTATACAAAACAAACGAATAAAACTTTTAATAATGTAACAGCGACATGTCATTTGAATTTCAAATCCAAGTGGTCTTTTTTTCTTTAATCTGAATAAAGTGTAACAAAATGAAATGCCAGTACAATAAATAATGAAATAAAAGAATCCAAGGAAAAGTAACATACGAATCAATTACACATGGATCAATTACCAGGACAAGCAAAGGCATCAATACTATCTAGAATTATTGACCACAAATTTATTGCCAGCGCAAATGCATCACACTTAGCATAAGAACCAACTACCAGTTAAAACAAAGGCATCAAACATACAACCAGAAATACCCAATGAAGCACAAGTTTGTATATACAAACCGCCTAGCAAAGAAAAAGAAATATAAAAATATAAACTAATTAACATACAAGCAAAGGAATCCAACACTATCAACAAACTTATTACCGGCACAAACAAATGCATCAACATTACCCATGAACAAATAACCAGTATGAATAAGGGCATCAAAACATGCAACCAGAAAACCCCAACAAACACCCATCTTCAACATCCACCGATGAAAAACCCAAGAACAAAGAAAAATAGGGAGAACCCATTATAAATACAAACAAATGCATCAACTATAAATGATAATCAATTATTAGTACAATAGAAAAGTATTGAGCATTACCTACAAACCAATAAAAATTAAGGGAAAATAAAAATAAAAGTAAAACATGCAACCAAGAAAGCCCAATAGAAAAACACATTTCCAATCCTACAAAAAAAAAAAAACTGAAAAAATGCATAATAATAAAAAGAAGAAGCTTCTTTTGCTGAGAAAAAGAACAAAAGGAGATAATTTTACAAACCTCGATCGCTTTGCTGGGTGCCACCCTGATAACATTAACAAAATTGCCCCTAAAGAGGCCTTTCCAACCATCACTCTGCATTATGTTTTGGAAAACCTCCGTTGTAGAGTGACCACTACTACCCACCATTAAATGTGTCCTTATGGTCTCAAGAGGAGCAACAGCTGTTCGTGAAACCGCACCAGCAATGGCTCCACTGAGCAATCTACGCAAAGAAGCATTCTTAACCCTAATTTTGACCACGGAACTTTTCCTTTTCTTCAGTTTCACCTCTATCCCTTCTTCTCTCTCCTCTTGGCCACGGCTTTCCACTAAATTCACAGTCTGGAAAGAGAATTCAGGAGACCGGTTAGATAGATATTTGGTGTACATCTCTGATGAGCCAGGGAGTTCTGAAGGAACCATATTCTGCATTCGTCTCTGGCTGTCATCGCTAGAGTTTGGAGAGACACCGAAACCGACACCCACTTGACTTACGCTTGCAAAAAGGCCACCAGGATGGAAAGAAAAACCAAGGTTTGAGCTCCATTGAAGAGAGATGTCATCAGGAGGGGAATACATGGCAAGGTGCTGAGTTCCTTGTAACCTCCCCATTGCGCAGGCTTTTATTAGAGCTTTTGAGAGGTTATATCTCGTAAGGTCGTGTTTCAAGACATGGGGTTTGCCGGAGCTCATATAAAAAGACGATCTTTAGATTAAAATTGGAGTTTGTTAGGGTTTGGGTTAGAGCGAGATACCGGAGCCTTGGCGTTGCAGGTGGGCATGGTTTTAAAGGGGTTAAAAGGGTTGGTGGCCCTTGAACCTGTTCAGGGTTGGTAAGAATCCTCCCCCACTTCCCTCCCTCTCTCTTCTACTGCTATCTTCACCAGTGAGCTATCACCCTCCTCCATGCCTCATCTTTTAATATCATCCTCTCTCTCTCTTTCTCTCTCTCTAAGTTTTGGTGCTCTCTCTATTTCAGGGTATATAATATAATATATTGGGTGTGGTTTATATAAGAATGCAACCTTAAACGATCCAAACCTCCAAATTTCGTAATTTTGTAATAAAACAAAATTTTTAATATCATTTTAAAATCTACTTTTATATTTAATTAAAAATTTGTAAATTTAAAAAATGGTTAAAATCAGGTAGGCCTATAAATATAAAAAAATCTTGAAAATAAACGGTCTAGATAATATATTGCAACGTGCACTACTTTCAAGACTCTAGAAATTTTTTTTTTTTCGTATTCATATACGTGAATGTCAAAATTATCGATTGAAAAGCTTTTTCAACATTAAAACAACATTTTCAATAGATTTTTGAAGTACATTTGTAATTCTACGACTTAAAATTACAACTTTATATAAGCTTCTCCCAAATATATTAGACCCCCCACCCTTCTCTCTTGGAAACTGGGCCTTTTTAACCGTCTAGGGTCATTGTTCTTGTAAGTCCTGGCATTCCACTTCCCTCCCTCTCTCTTAGGTCATTGCTTTGCACTCTCCGTCCTCTCTCTCGCTTTCTATTGTGCATATTAGAGCCCCTCCATCTTATGAGAATATATAT